CCATTCAAATGTCCTATGTTCGCCTTCAGCTGATTTTTGATAACGATGTTTATCTCTTTCGACATCAATTCTATTTCTCAAGAACTACCAAGCCAATTTTAATATTTTTACTACTATTAGATGCATCTTGATGAGCTCTACAACTTTGTTAAAAGCCCAAAGATAATTTACTTAGTAAGAAAAAAAAGTTTTTCTTGGGTGAATATCATATTTCTGTCTTAAGAAATTTATATATAGAACTGTGTTATATTATACTAAGATAATTCTTAAGTTTACTAGAGAATCATCAATTAATATCATTTATAAAAATATTTTTATAACTTGTTATTTTGCCATGGTTTTATATAAAATTTTTTAATAATAAATGATATTGTTATTTTAAAATAACATATTATTTATAGTTATTTTTATAAAAATTTATTATTTGCTATTGCTGTATATTAATAACTTTTTGGTATAATACTGGTGAAGATAATCATATATATAATTATTATATGCCAATTAACTAATAGAATCATGAATTTTTATAAAATAAAGAGAAATGAAATTAAAGAAATTTAATTAAATTTCTAGTTAAAGCTCAAAATAAATACCACCAATATTGTTGAATAAGTAAGCATATTAATAGTATTTATTTACAAAAAATCTTAATAATCTAAGATAGATATACCTAATTTGACATAGTATCTAATTTAATGTATGATGATATCTTGAGAACTATTGATTAGAATTGCATAATTTTGGTATTATTTGATTTATCTTATTAAGATAAATCAAATAGTATCAAAAAATTTACAAAATTTTGATTAATAGTTTTCAAGATACTCTATTTAAACAAAATATTCAAAGATAGATATATTTAATTTGATACAAGTAATTGTTTATAATAAATATCATATGATATATTGATCAAAATTGCAAAGATTTGGTGCTATTCAATTCATCTTATCAAGATAAATTGAATAGTACTAAAATCTTGCAATTCTAATTAATATATCTATCATAAAGAGTTACTTGCATCAAATTAGACACTATATTAAATTAGAAATATATTTTAAACAACTTTTAATAAGTAATATTATATAAGTTAGTGATTAGAATTAAATGATTTTAGTACTATTCAATTTATCTTAATAAAACAAATCAAATAATACTAAAATTATCTGGTTTTAGTTAATATATCATGTAATATTTATTAAAAATATTAGCTATATTAAAATATATATCTATCTTATATATTTAATTTTATATCTAATTTTATATCTAATTTTATATCTATTTTTAAATTTAATCAAATTTCTAATATTTATACTATACTACCTTATATTATATAGCTAATATTTTAATAAAAAATCTTTATAACTCAATATATATCATATATATATAAACTTATATTTTAAAAGCTTCTATAATAATAATATTAATAAATTATATAGTTAATTATTATTAGACCATACAAAATAAATTTCTTGGTTTTTATAACCAGGTCAAAAAATTGAAAACTTAAAATTTTTTTTTTAAATTCACTAATCAATAAAATTTAATCAAATACTGTATATATCATATTGTCTATTTATTTTACAATCCAAACTTGTTATTTATTATTATCAAATAACTTAGGTTTAACTATAAACTATATAAATAATATAGATATTTATAGCTCATACAAAAAAATCTCCAAAATTTCAGGTTGAGATGTATCAGAACCTGGACCAGAATAGTCAATTTTGCAGCTTTAGACAACAGTCAATATTAACTATGCGAAAAGATTTCACCCTGACGAACTTTGATTAAAAGACAAACAATATGCCTTGTACCAATTAAATTATACTATAAAGTGAAGGTAACTAGGAACTTTTTCGTATAAGAGCTTTATTATTTATTATATTTAAATTAGATTTTGACCGCCGTTTAAGTTGAATAGGCACAAGTTCTTTAGCATAAAGATCTGGGTTAGATGTTAAATTTGTCTGTTTTTCTAGTATGTTTGGGTTAATTAATCGTAAATTAAATCATATTTTGTAAATTCTTTAATGAGTTCGAATTTATTAGTAATAAATATTATATTTTTCTCACTTTACATATATTTATATGAATTCTTTTGTGTTTATGTATTGGCTCATAGACTTCTTATAATTTTTTTCGTTTTCTAACGATAAATTTTTTAAAAATTATGTAATTTGACGTGAAATCACAGGTAGTTCTACGTATAAAAATTAACCAATAAAACCATGAGTGGTAAAGCTAGATCGGTAATAAAGGTAAATTCTGCAAAAATTCTGCGATTTGGCCGGAATTATATAAACTCTACCAGAATTACGGTCCCAAATTTCAGCCAAAATTTAATAATGATTGACTTTGCTGATACAAACGCAGAAAATTATATCAAGGGTAAAATCGCCACTAGGGTTGTATTACAAAAATTACAATTTTACATTTCATGTAATTTTGCGTAAATTTCAGTAACTTGAATTTCATGTAAATTTCACACGCACTAGAACTATGAAAAACTCAGCTAGCATTATTGAACTACAGTAGATTCTGCATAAAGTTCACTGACCAAATCGATGTACATATGATCCAACCAATCATATGAGCATATGATCACGTTTTTTACAAATTACATGAAAACCATGTTACTGAAAACTTACGCAAAATTTCACAAAATTACGTAAATTACGGTAATTTGACATCCCTAATCGCCACCAAAAAAGTTTAAAGTAAAAATTTCAGGTTTTTAGTCTATGAAACTGCCTTCTGTGCATTAATTAAAAGTTTTCCTTGTTTTTGATATAAAGTTTTAATTTTAGACACAATCTAATGATCATAACCTAAATTTTGATTTTTGACAAAACGAACGTGAATTTCACGATCGTGTAACGTTACACCTGATCTTGAGATTTGATTGGCCACGAAACTTTTTAGGATGGTGATTTTACCTCCGTTAAAATTATCGTCCCTCATCGGGATTATCTTTTCCGGTCCCCTGAAGAAAAAGGCCTGCTGGTTTAAGGAAAGACAGTAATTCTCGTAGAATAAAGACTTTATGGCAGTAACTTTTGCAAATTAAAGCCGTAAGGACAGTAACTCTTAAAGAACAAGTTAGTGAAGCCATAAACAACGGAATTGGAGTTGTAAGGATGAAAACGTTTTATTATGAAGATAATATTGATCTGTTGATGTGGGTGTTGCGAATTAAACAAAAGGTTGAAGAAAGCGTAAAAGAGTATTCCAAGCGTTATGAAGCTCGAGTGGTGTTA